AAAGTCATGCATTTGATTATAATTTTTTTTCTGCCATAGTTTGATTAATGTTTTTTTGTTTATTGAAGCTACTGCAGGTCAGAATGAAAACAACTTTTAATTCCACTATTCTTGATCTCATGATACAATACAATACAACTTTATTTATAAAGCACATTTAAAACCGAAGGTACACCAAAGAGCTTTACAACAAGGTTTAAATACAAGATATAAGATAAAAGGCTATAACAGAGTACAAAAAATGATGTTACACTGCTCTCACACAGAGGCGTTGTGAATACCTTGTTATTCTCAAACATGACTTATGCTGCTGCACAGCAGAAACTTTATATACTGTAAATTGAATAACGTCTGCTTATCTATATTTGTTCTCTAAATAGGTAATAGTACACGTTAGCTGGATCAGCTACATCACTAGCCATTATTAGCTTATTATTATTAGCTTTCTGAGCCACAGTACACTGGTATATCGGTAGCTGCCAGCCAAGGAGCTGATGTACTTTTATTGTCTTACTGTGTGTATATTTTATATTCTGGTATATATTGTGACAGCACAAATACTGCAGATGAAGGACAGAGAAGCTGAAACAGCAAAAAGACAAAAGGAGAGACCGAAAAGAAACAGGTAACAGTGAAGGTAGTCAAAGTTAGAGACTGGAAGGAAAAATGAGGTGAGCAGATGGGGAGTTAGTGAAGTTAGGTGGAACAACATAAAATCACCTCATAAAAATGGGTGAAAAAAAAATCCCCAAATGATTTTGACGAGCATTTGATGAATGTTTTGTGTGCTTTCCTGTAGCACTCTTAAAAATGTCAGTGGACATTTGAAAAAGAACTTATGGATTGATATGAATGGTAGCATTTATTCCGCAGTCACCCCTGTGGCTCCTGGCTGCGGCTAAGGACGTAGAACAGCTCATTTACTAATGGGAAGCTCTGTGGTTTGATCCTCATCTGTTCCAGTCCGCTACATTTCCTTGGGCAAGTTGCTGTCCAATGCATCCATCAAAGAATAAATGTTAGATAGAAAGCACTTGTGCAGAAGAAGTGTCTAAAAAGAGTGCTTGTATGAATGGGTGAATGAGGCAAGTTGTGTAAAGTGCTTTGCCATCTCAGATGGGTTGGATAGGATAGGATAGGATAGGATAGGATAGGATAGGATAGGATAGGATAGGATACCCTGCCACTACACTGAAATCTATTTTTCTCCTCTCGGAACCAAGAGTAGAATCTGCAGAATAAAGGTAGGGTTTGTATGAACTTGATGTAAAAGAGACTAAAACAATGCTTGGCATTTTACTTGTTTTATGTGCTTTACTACAACTTGTTCCTTAACTTACTTTGGAGCCTTTTCCTTAAGTTTAGGGTCTACTTTAAAAGCATCAATCCATTAATTTTCTACCGCTTATTCAGGTTTTTGCTGTGGGGCATCAGTCTGAGCAGAGGAACCCGGACTTACCTCTCACCAGCTGGCTGTTCTGGCTGATCAGTAGGAACACAGAGTCGTTCAGATATAATCTCTCCACAAAGTCCTGAGTCTTCCCTGGGAGCTCCTCCCAGTAGGGATCAAGAATATCTCCTAGGTGAGGTGAGCTGCACCTCACCTAGGAGGTGTCCAAAAGGCATTCTATGTCATGGTCCTGGGTCTTTGACCCAGTATTTTGAATTGCAATTCCTTATTCTTAGTTAAGAGTATCCTTAATCTTGCATTCTTTATGGCTGAAGTCTTGTAGTTTTCGGATAATGATTTTGATTTTTTGTTCTCTGTTTGTTTTCTTGTATTTGTGTCACTGATGTGTCATTCCATACCCTGCCACCTACTGGTTGTTTAATGCTACTATAGATGTATGATGGTTCATTGTACTTATTTTTATTTAACCTGTCATGCATTATAATGAAAACCTCAATCAAGATTTGGCAGTCAGCTCGGTGTGTAACACCCAGCTGACTGTTTCAGGAGGACAATAGGAGAAAGGTAATTGGATGGTTAATGCACACACCTTTAACCATGACAATAACTACCATTGCTCCACCTGCACATATTTGCCTGCTCATAAAAGGAGGAGCTCAAATCAGAAAGCACTTTCTTCTACTTCAGAAGACGACATACAAGCAGAGAAGTAATATGTAAGTAATCCTATAAGAAAAGAAATAACTGACATCAACATGTGATATTTAAGGTGAACTGTTTTTGTGTGTTCTTTTTTCCGTCTGTAATCAGTTTAAAATATATTGAGTCATACATGAGTTACTCAACGACGTTCAAAAAATCACTGATAAAATATTAACAAAAATGTATTTATTTGTACCATCTTTGCCTATTTTTTTCTCGTGGAATGTTGTTTGTTTCAAAAATACTAGGAAGAAAACTTAAGGTGTTTGAGAGAATAATGGTTTACAATATCGCATTCAACATGATGTACAGCATGTCTAACTGAATCTCGGATCCATAATCATCCCTTTCTCTAATATTCAATGATACTTTGATGACCAATCAACTATAAAGCTTTTTCTGTCATCCATTATTAATACTATGCTTTCCGTTCAAACAAACAGTGTACTAATTGTGAAACTATTATGAACTAAAAAAAAAGTGAAAAGTTGCAGAAGTATACCGAGAAAGCCGTGGTATTTATGACTAGAAAGAATACAAGGGACTTTTAAATGTAAAGTTGCCATCATGAATTAAAAAAGGAATATGTTAGAACTTTAATGTTTAATGTGTTTAATGAAATAACATTTTTTATTCTATGGAAAGTTGAACAAAATAAAATTTCTATTGTGGACAGATTATGTTTTTAGGCTCTCTTTTACATGTTATCCACATCAATTATCATTTTTAGAGAAGGCAA